TAGTAGCGTCCTTGCTCCTAGTAGCGATGCCAGGAGCCCCTAGTAGCCTCCTTGCTCCTGCTCCTAGTAGTACGGCCAGGAGCCCCTAGTAGCGGTCTTGTTCCTATATGTGGAAAGATGTGCAAAGCTACTCCACAGCTTATTTTCACAGCGGCCCTGGTGGAACTGAAGACCCAGCGCTGCTCGGAATGGACCGTGGACGAGGATTTTATGGTCAGTGCAGTAGAGCCGAGACAAACACAATCACAAGACCAAGCACTGGCGGAAGGCCAGAAGGCACTGGACAAGCCGCCAGGGCATCTTGGACTCGACATCGTCTCAGATGGGTTGCTGAAGAAGCCAACAACGGTGTGAACCTCACCCAGGACTACAAGGACTGCACTGCGAGCTTCTGGAAAGCGGCCAAGGACCTGGCATGGCCCACAGCAGCAGCTTCCAGTGGAGATGAGGCAGGGATCAGCCTTCATCCCAATTCATCCAAGGCCATGGCAACTGGTAATTGTCCTTCTGCGAGTCTACGAGTCTACGACCCAAAAAAAAGGCCTCCTTCAAGCAAGCAGCAAGAGGCCTGACATCTCAGGCTGCTGCGGCCAAAGAGTATCCGGTCAAGGCCTATCACCAGCTGCATTGCCAGACCTGCAAAAAAGCCCCGGTGTGGCGGGAGCAAGTTCGTCCGACACCATCCGACCACTGGACGCTCTGAGGGCATCTGCAACCCAGCTGTGACGGGCTGGGAAGCCCTCGCACCATCAAGGAAGAGAAGAGGCTGATCCAGTCTCCATGATGGACTCCAAAGCCACAAAACGGTTGGCACTTCTGTGCTTTGCCGGAAGGATCAAACAAGTAGAGCAGTGATTGAGGAAATGAATGGAAATAAGAGACTCAAGCCACTCAAGCCGCAAGCCCAACTGAAGACTAGGCATTGAAAAATATTTTATATGAATATTTAGCGGGCCTACACCCCAGCAGTGAGAAGCGGGAACAAAATATAACCATTGAATCCTAACCAACAATCACCAAACAAACAAGAAGGGTCATGTAACAATGCTCTGGACAAACTGCAGATTTAAAAAAGTATGTCGAAACCCACAAAGTTGGCTGCAAGTGACGACAAATGAAGACAAAATGGGATCACTGATGGAAAAGGAATGATGACAAGAACAGCGCGAGAATCAGGGTGAAGTTTCGCAGTCCAGAATAGACGCGGACAACTGAATGGTTTCGATTCAAATGACCAATTGGGGACTCGCTGCTTGATTGCGCTGTGTCTGTGGGCTGACCTTGCCTAAACAAACAGGTCTGATCAGTTGAGCAGTCGCAAACTGCGGGAAGCATTGTCTCCCAAAGCCTGACGCACTGCATCTGGCTTGTCTTGAAGCAGGTCACGCACCACCAGCCTGATGTGCTGATTTGCTGGTCAAGTCTGGCTCTTTACAGTAAGTGAGCCAGACTCCTCACCAGTTCGTCGCCTCATCCGGACAAACGCAAAATGCTCCACACTCCACAGAATGAGAAGTCATGCTCCGCCGCTCCGCCCAGAAAGTCCAGTCTCGCGCGCCGAAGCGAAAAGTCATGTGCACGATGACCAGGCGACCAGGCGTCAGATAGAGGCAAGTGATTGGACGACACTAACAGCACATACCCACATCACACACGACATATAGGACACCAAACGAAAGCACCAACGCTGGAAGCGACTTCTCCGGTTGCTCCTAACTTCGCGTCTCGGACGATACGCCGACGCTACACAGATGCGGAATGTCAGATGACCCATTCGTGGCCCTCCTTTTTCAAGCGGGCAGTGTTGGTGCACAGCCTCTCACTGGGAGAAATGGTGAGACTGGCCAGGAGAGCAAAACCCTGACAACATCTTGAAGCCTTTGGTTTGCTGCGCAAACTGTACAGGACTATGTACCGGGAACTCTTCTACAATGCTGCCCGCTTTCGCTTCTGTTCTTCTGGCGACGCGAAGCCTGCAAGTCCAGTGGTCGATGCCCACAGTTCACGCCCCACAGCCAAAGTAACAATGCAATGTCCTATAGCCCACATGCACTTTGCTGTGCTTGCTTCATCTGCTTGAATGTACATCTGTGCCAATGGCACAGTCATTTCGCACAGACAGTCTCAAAAGTCTGATCTGAGATTGCAGTGAGAAACAAACACAGCAGTAAACCATAAGGACTGTCTAAACTGAAGGACCGTCTAAACAATCTAAACCATCTATATAAGCACGTGATGTTGCAAGCTCGCTTGTGTCGCTCATCACTCACCGGCTGGCCTTGTTCGATGTCATACTTTTCCTCCACCTACATAACATCACTAAAAATCAAGCTTGCGATACCCATTGCTGGAAAGAATCCATGTCAGCACGGTAAGTGTCAATGTCAAGTGTGTGGGTGTGTAAGTATGTGTGTGTGTGTATGTTCATGTATTTTCATTTATGTTCCAAGATTCCAAAATGCTCCAACAAATTATCTCAAAAAGGCTTCCAACCTTACGCTTCACAATGTTCCTGACTTCAGCTCGCAGATCCTGTTCCAGCCACTTGAGCTTTCAGAGCGGAATCTTGAATGAGCTGGCACAGTGTCAAAAAATCAATGCCAACCTGGCCTCAGTCACCTCCTTGAGAAGCTCTGTTGGAACAGGATCTTGTTGAAGCAAGTCCCTCGCCAGGAGAAGCTTCGACTCCAGCACCTCCGTGTAGGCAGATCTCGCAAACGAATGGTTTGTTTTGCCTAGAGGCCTAGAGCTAGCAGCTCTATGCAGCACTACACAGGCCTCAACCCTGGAAGCTTTCAATTTCTTCTTCTGGTCCCTTGCACAGTTGGCAAAGTAGCATCGGTCGGCAAATTGGGGAACTTACAGTGTGTGAATGCTAATATAAACGACAGTGAAAACTACAGTGGTCAGAAGGATTGTCTAAGTCAGTCCTAGTAAAATGTACAGGTATGGTATGTATATATGGATATCAAATATCCTGAACTGTATAGTATTTCAAGGTATGAGTATCCTTTTGAAGAAGGCACACAAAAACAAGAACAAAGCAAAAGGACACACCGCCACAAGAGAAATACAGCGCCTCAAGAGTCGTTCCACGGCAAATGCTGCAGATTCTGCATCGTTCTTCACCATGGTGACCTGGGTGGCCAAGGGACTGAGCTGTGCTTGCACGAATCGTCACTAACCTGGTTGCTTCACGACATGGGCGAAAAGAAGCTGGACACACACGAGGACTTCACGAGGACGGACCAGGATGTTGAGAATGAGGTCCGATCCGTCCGGTCCGTTTGAACGGACGTGGCTTCGAGTAGCCCCCTAGTAGCCCCCCCAGTAGCCCCCTAGTTGCATCCTTGCTCCGTTTGTTCCTAGTAGCTTCTTGCTCCTAGTAGTAAGGCCAGGAGCCCCTAGTAGCGTCCTGGGTGGAACCAAAAAAGGTTGGTTCGAGCTTTCGTGGTTTGAGAAAGAGGTCTGTCAAAGCACCCGGGTTTCAGTTTGCTTGCATCCAAAGGGGCCGCTTCAAAAAATGCTTCTTCAGCAGCCTTCTGTCGAGCCTCACACAACGAAAGTCCACTCAATAAAGATCAAAGAAGTCGCAAAGCAGATTGTGCTGTGACCTCCTTGACCTTCTCTTGCACATCTTCCTGGGAGGCACTGACTGCAAAAAACTGACTGCCTGGTCTTATGTTTGTTTGATAGAAGGAACCGTAGTACCGCAGTATGTGATTTGGAAGAAACGTGAACTCAGAAGATAGACCCTTCATAACCAGCATTCATCACCAATGAAAAAGGAATTACGAAGAGCACTTAGTGCAACTGCGATGCCGGAGCCAGAGTGGAAGATCCAGAGATCGTCACTTGCTTCTCCTGCAACATCACGAATGCATGCTTCGCCACTGGTTGAGGCGTTCAAGAGTTGCAAAATTTGATGGCAATTTGGCGATGTGTCCTCATTTGTGTTTTTGATTGACTGTCCTGGCGTGTAGCTTTGTCCATAGCGCAAACACTGAGAATGCCATTGCTGTCCACATCGAAGGTAACCTAAGCGCAGCCAATATTCCCATTGCTCAGCACATTGCCCAATAACCTGAGGAATGTGCCTCAATTTGAGCAATCCCTGCAGGCGCGGGAGGAATTCCTGGACGGCTCAAGAGCTCAAGTATGCTCAAGCGCTTTTTCTTCAACCTTTACCAGACACAAAGAGCAATTTAGGCAAAATCTTCTCTGCGTGACCAGGTTAAACCCTTTGCCTTCTAAGATGAAGACACCGAGCTCTTTGTTCTGAGTCGCTTGGCGGAATTCACCCTGCACCACTTCCACCTCGGCTGTCCAACTGAGAAAGGGGATACTGGGGATAGGATAGGACGCATGCAGCATGCAGCAAAATGCAAGGCTTTACAGTTTCCAATCACTCTGACTGATTCATGTTGTATGTTGCTCCGTAGTACGAAAGAGAGTTGAATCATGTTGAATCTCTATTTCGACTTGTCGATTTAAATCGTTTCGTTTCTTTTGCTGACCCAGTTGGAAAATGACTTGCTGTGTCCAGAGCCAGTCAGGTCTGAAAACCTGCAATTTCAAATGCATTGTGGCATCGTGGTCCCTTCTGAGAGGCATACCGTGACTCGTGCCTGATTGTCTTTGGCCGTTGAGAAAACCTCCGAGAAATGTGTACCAAGTCGTTTGCAAGAGAGGTGCTGCCAGGCAGAAGATTGTTGATTTCGTGTCCTTGAACATCTGGATGATTCTGGGTGTGTCATTGCTCAAAGCAGCAAGTCCCAGTCGCCTTCGTTTTCTTCACTGGCACACGAGTGTTTCTTGGGAGGAAGACTGAGCTGAGCCCATCGTGAGTAGCCTCAGTTTTGAAGGCTGCTGCAAAATCGAAAGACCTTGAAAGAAGTGATTCCAGGAAAAGGGTGCCACCTGAAAACAATGCCAGCCATGGTGGATTGTTGTATGAATCTCAAATCAAGCTCTTTGACCACGAGAGCTAATGCATGGCCAATGCATCGCCAATGCACGGCCTGCACTGTGCCAAGGTGCAACTCCCAGGGACAATGGAATCACGTCAAGCAGGACAAGGTCCTGGTGTTGACTCTTTTTGTTCAGCATGTCTGCAAAATCAGACTGTGGGAAAGAATCAAATTCAATTAATTGAAATCTTAGCAGGACTTTGCAGCAAACAGAGGAATCTCATTCAATTGGTCCATACGTCTTTTGAAATACCATGATCATGAAACCTTGCATAATATGCTCATACCATATCCGGACTTGGCTTCGACAACTTCTCTCCTTGACTTCGCCTGCAAGCACGCCAGCTTGAACTGCCGCTCCCATTGCCACCACTTCATCAGGGTTTACCTTGTGAGTGCCAAGGCACATCACACGACATGATCAAACACATTCGATACCTGTCATACATGCTTTCTGTGTTTTCTGTAGGCACGGGGGGTGTTCGGCTTAAGTTTCTGAATTGCTTCTACGGCACGCTCTGATTCAGTTCTTTGCCTCCGACCAATTCGCGGACAAGCTCTTGCACGGCACAAATCCTGGTTGAACCTCCAACCAGCCTCACAAGTTGGCTTGCCCGGGCTCGAAACGCTCCGGCATACAAACCCCACTCGAGCTACATTAATTCTGAGAATGCAAGAAGTGCCTGTGAGTGCCTGTTCAAGACAAGCAACACTACCTCATCCAAGTCTCTGTACTTTAAGCCAGCATCTTTCAGAGCTTTCTGGACAGGGCTTTTTAGTCGTTCCAGCAATGGTGAGCAAAGCCGCTCAAATTCCTCTCGGCTGAGCTCTTCATCTAGCTGAAGTGGAGATCCCGAGTCATCCACCGCAATGAACGGCAAAGAAATCCTGAGCTGCCAGGAATGATGATGTGCGAGGAAATCAGGGCGTGAGGTCATTGAGGTAGCCCAAATGATAACCCAAGTTGACACACACCCCAAACTGAGAGACAAATTGAAATGATGTGATGCAAGATAAATTCTCTACTCCACACGACAAGTTCAAAGAATGCGCATCTAGAGCTTGAAAAACAGTGCCAGGCAAAGTGATGCTTGAGGTTTGCTGCTTTGCAAGTCTCGTGGTGCTCAGCACACTGGAAAGCTCAATCTTTGCCTTTTCGGCAGCTTCAGTTAGGCGTTGTAGGCTCTGTGGATCATTGCGAAGATCAATGCTTTGCCTGGATGCAAACCTGTTCGCCAGCCAATCCTTATCTGTGAACTGGCTAATCCTGTCATGTTGCTTGGGAGGGACATTTCAGCAATCTTTGAAGCCAAACACTTGAAAACCAATGGCACAGAATTTTGAAGGTGGTCGCTCCCCTCTATCTCCCCCTGTGACGACAAGCATCCACGATGCATTTGTCGAAGTTGTCGCCGCCAAGCTTTGTGTCGCCACTGGTTGCAAGGACTTCGCAAACACCACCGCCGACAACGAGAACTGATACATCAAACGTTCCTCCACCCAAGTCAAAAACCAAGATGGTCTCGTTGGTGTCGCGCATTTCCAGCCCGTAAGCCAAAGAAGCAGCTGTGGGTTCATTAACAATGCGGAGTACTTCTAGGCCTGCGATTGCACCAGCATCTTTGGTAGCTTGTCGCTGGGAATCATTGAAATATGCGGGCACGGTAATTACAGCTTTCTTGACATCAGCTGCCAGATACTTCGCGGCATCGGTGGCAAGCCTTCGAAGCACTTGCGCAGAGATCTCTTCAGGTGCCAACTCCCTGTCCAAGAAAGGGCAAAAGATTCGAACCCCAAGGACCTCGGACGGATCCACGACAGTGTATGACACCTCTGATGCTTCCTCATCAACCTCGCTCCTGAGCCTGCCAATGAAACGCTTCACGGAAGAGAACGTGTTGCCAGGATTGACCACTGCTTGCCGCTTGGCCTTTTGCCCTATAAGCAACTCTCCAGACTTGCTATACGCCACCACACTTGGCGTTGTTCGGCCACCATCTGAGCCGGGAATGACTGTCGCTTTTCCAGCTTCAAGGGCTGCAACTGCTGAGTTGGTTGTGCCCAAGTCGATGCCAACAACCTTTTCACCTGCCTCGAGGTTGATGTTCGCCGCGCCACGAACCACCCGCGCCACGCTTTGACGAGCACGTCGCCAAAGGGTGGCCGCAAGTAGCGGGAGTCCAGCAGTAGCTGCTGGAAGCAAAGGACTGCGGCGTCCAGTGCTTGCCTGAGAAGAACAACTTGTTGAGCGAGAAAATGCTGCATGGAGAGAAAGACTTGGATGCGGATGTTGTACGTAGGAATCTGCACATCGTCTTGACCTTACCAATGCACACCTAGACAAAGTCTAAAGGGCTGATGCCAAACGACACAATTCTGTATTTTGGCTGGTTGATGACTGATTGCTAGCGGATTACAAGGAGTCATTGAACGGCAGCCCTGCTTCAAGTTGGCATCAAGAGTCCTTTGCGTGGTTTCGTCCAGACTCAAGCGCGGTCAAGGTGCGTTGGATATCTGGCTCCTTCGGAAATGTGTAAGAATATTTTTGTGAAGTCCAAGGCACTAGCATCCAAGATGCGATACTTGCAATTATCCCCATCAAGTTGCAGGAAAAAAAACATGTCAGGCAAGCTGGCTACACAGGCACTAAATCCGCAAAATTTACACACCAAGCGCATCACACACCTGCTGTTCCCTCAATCTGTCTGCATCTACATGGGATGTTGCCTTACCCAAGATCACCTCTTAGCCTCCTCCACTGTTCCAGTGATTTTGGCAATCAGGAAAACCAGAACACCGTGTACTAAATCACTGCATCCAATGGCATTGTCTGGCTCTTAGAACATCGTGAGTTCCCAAGTAGCGAGGTCCTAAGGCAGAAGTTGATGCAGGCAACAGCTCCATCAAATGGAGTGGAAGGACGGATGACCAAGTTAACGAACGCGCTGATGAAGTTGCTACAAATACACGGTTGCCACAGCACTAAGTCCACACTTTGTTTGGCCCCATAAGACTAAGAGTTTTCCTTGTGAGTGACTCTGATCCCCATGGTGGGCTGCTCTTGAAACTGGAGTTGATGTCGTTGCAGCGGTGGAGAGAACTCGTGTGTCATGATTCATTTTCTGCCCTTTGCAACTTCAAACGCTGCAGATGAAGCCCAACAACCCACCTGTGTGGCTCAGCATGGCGTCAAGTCATTGGAACTTGGCCCAGATTTGCAGCCCAACAGCAAGAGCAACTCAATTGACTAGAACTTTTCAAGCGCTCCAACTATGCGTTGCTGAAGCTCGAGCGCGCCCCTCTGAAATTTTAAGGGAACTGGGGAGCAGGAACTGAGGTCCGGAGCAGGCAGGAGAAAGCGCATCAGAACAAAAACGCCGTTCTCAGCACAAAGGCGCGTTGCTAAGTACGTACAAACACCTGCCGACGACGTTCCCAGCACAAAGGTGTGCTTCTAGGCACGATTAGGTACGTAAAACATCTGCCGCGCTAGCGGTCCTACAAAGGCTATATACTGTCAAGAAAGAAAGAAAGAAAGAAAGAAAGTTGGATTCTGAACACAACCCTGACCTGACAGCAGCACCATGGCAACAGCGCCCGGGATTCCAAGGTTCGAGGGCGGCGCCTGACAGCAAGGGTTCCAACACAACAGCGCCGGGGTTAGGGAGGAGTTCTGGGTTTCGGACGCCGGCAGGTGCGGAGATTGAAACCCAACTCTGCCCATACTCTGTTTGCGCGCGCGCGTGAAGTGTACTAAACCTGGCGCCGCATCCTGCATCCTGACAGGACTGACCAGCCAGAAAGACGCCGTCTCTCGCTGGACAGAAGGACAGGATCCACCTCCTGCCAGCCGGAAGGCTGTAGGCTAAGCCCTTCGGATACTCAATGTCAGGCCAGAAACCACCAGCAGCAACAGGAGACTCGTAAGCCCAACCGCTGTTGCGTCCTAGCACGCAGAGCGGGAGGCAGCAATTGCTTAAGGTTCTCGACGCAGGAACAGGGGCTCGAAGCTCGCCAATTGCACTCTGTCGCCAAGTGCGTAGGCAGAGGTCACCGTAGTGTGGGTGTCTGAGCAAGACCGGCTGAAGGGGGACCTGACACTCTGGCTTTGGCCTAGCATCCAACACTACAACCTGGCCAGGACATCGGTTTTGTGATCACAGACCAACACAATACCCTGATGTTCGGAGACGTGATCCAGCAACCCGGCAATCGGAAGGTGTTGAACATAGAGCGCCCACAGGTATAGTGCAGCTCCAGGAGGCGCCGCTTGCACCACAGAGCTGCGTCCCCGCTCAGTCCAGGTAGCAATCCACACCCTCCCCGCGCAACACAGCGAGGGCAGCCCGACTTGGAACAAGTGTTGGCGTAGTGAAGGGGGGTTGTGGGGAGGCAAGTGTTCCCACACTCGGAGCAAACAAGTTCCAGACGTAACATGGGAGTACTGATGATATGCGTGCGCCCAAGCCTGCCCACTACAACACTTGCCTCATTACACGATCTAAAGCACGCTCGCTGCTGTTCCCGCAAGCGAAACGCAACTCCCAGGTTCAAGTTGTAGCCACAGCCGGCTTCTTCCTGTTGGCCACTGGTGTTGGTGATCGAAGTCTTGTTTCTATTCTTTTTGTCTGGCTCTGCTGCCCACGGCGGCAACAAAAAACAGATCACTCGGAGGGGTCGATCGTATGGTGGGCACAACAGCTGGTGTTCGGCATCCTTGTTATCTTCAAGGCACTCCCAGTCGACACCATCCATCTTCTGTTGAAACGAGTACTTCCGCCAACTGCGAGTGACTGGCGCATCCAGCACAAGGTCTTCGATCCTTTCCCAGGTTAGTGTGTTGCGAGACCCAAATTGGGCTGCCTTGCAGTGGCGGAGGAGATGGTTCAACAAGTCTTCTGCAGGGAGCGGTGTGGAGGTCACAGCTTTGCCCTTGCCCTTAGCTTTGCCCTTGCCCGCTTGCTTCCACTATGCCATGAAGTGCTGCATCCCCATGGCCCTGACGACCAGGAACTGTTGTCGTCTTCCCAGCTCTCATCCCAATCATGATTGAAATTGTGTTCTTCGTGTCTTTCTACTTGTATTCCAATCATCAATTTCAACTCCACATTCTCTTTCACAAGGCGCCCTAGCGGCCCTATCGGCAGGAACCGTTATGCGAGATCGCCCTCACAGTCATGGCACATTGCACTTACACCTCTGTACAAGTCTATGAACTTGCAAACACTGCAAATGAATCAGCATGGCGTCAAGTGATTGAAAACAATGAGTGAAATTGCTGAAAACGCTTGAATTTACATAAAATGGCTCGCCTTTTTACTCCTACACCTCGCATGTCACATTGATCATGCGGCCATAGCAGAGGGGCAGCATTCCCTTCCCGAAGCTACAGGCAGATTCCGCAAGCTGCGTTGAGGACCTGCACCTCTGATGTTCATTGTCCAGTGTTCAATATGGTTCAATACTTTTCCATGCCGATGTTCTAACTAACTGGTCCAACATTAAAGAATTATATATTGATAAAATACTTTCTCTTTTTGTTCTTCCCATGGGTCGCCCATGTCTTTCTTCTTCACTGTCCATGCTACACATTGCGACAGGCTGCTCAGCGCCGTTTCCGGCCACGTCCACGCCTTAGACTAGGTAGAGAAGGGAGCTAAAATCTGTCTGTCTAGCCTTTCAAGAGGAGCCAACCAAAACAAAGGAATCACACGCAGCCGAGCTCCAACTTAAGCCACATCATGAAAAAAAAAAGTTGCTTGGTTGAGACATCTTGACGCAGCTTCGTACAAGCTTTCCTTTGCCGTTGCAATGTCCCACCCTCGTGCTGTCTGACCGTCACTCCTCTCAAGAGTCCTTCTATCCCTTCTTGTTACCTCTTTCACCCAGCAAGCTGCGATGCGATTCTCTGATGCTGCCAGCACCAGGAAATTCTTACTTCCACCAATTTCAGAGGAAGCAAAGTTTCATTAACTGGTAGTCGACCCACGCGTAGTAGAGCCCAATACTGCTACACATCATGGGTCCACCCTGGGTACTACGTTCAAAGTCCATCTTGAAGGGATACAATTCAGTCAGTTCAAAATGCTGGAGACTTCCATGCAAACCCGTACCACATGGACTACGCTTGAAGCCTTCGTTAACTAAGGACATCTACGTCCACTCGCCCATCAGTACACCGCGGTTGTGGACGCAGCGAAGAACTGCAGGGCAAGCAAGCTAACTTTCAGGCTCCAAAGTATTGGCAGAACATATCCGTGCTTCTTGATGGTGTGGTAACAAGAGGGATACTTTGCAAACTCCACTGCACCTGGCTTCCAATGCACCTTCAGTAAGCCTAAGCCTTATCGCGGTGGGGGTGTGCACAAGCTCCAAAGACCAAAGACCACACAGTGAGCCCGAAGATCAAGACACTTGTGGCATCGGCATATGTCAAACGTGTTGGCAATAGGTGAGAATGTTTAACACTCATCAACAATAAATATTTGGCTGGATACACGTCACAACTGCGCAAGCCCCAACAACGAAAGATATATATATATACTTATGTTGCAAATATATACTGCATATGCATTTACATATACACATTTATGTAATATATATATATAATATATACATATTTTACTACAAGTTTGTCTTGTAAAAAACAAGCTTGCACCGGCCTTCTCCATATCGTGCTGCCGCTGGAGTCTCCTCCGCTTACATTCACCAACCCCCATCAACAGTGAGCGCAAGCTTCACAAAACAGGCAATCCTCCTGCGCCTGGCCAGTGCCTTTGTCTTCTCAGAAAGTAGAATGTGCAAAAACTACTGTGAAAACCTGAGCTCGCTCAGATTGAGGAGACCTGGGGTGCTGGCACTTTGAAGAGCTGAACCTTAGGAAAATATATCAGGAATGAGAACGTAGCAGATAAACGCTCCAAAGCCACCCAAAAGTTCGAGATGCCGACACATCAGCATTCCGCCATCGATGCAGAATTGGCTGGCCGGAGGCTCAAGCGGAGGAGGAAGTCCTGTTCAAGCTTCAGCCCTTTGTGACATCCTGCTATGCCACCGCTTCTGAACCACTGTTGCTTCTGAACCACTGTGACAGACAGAGAGACAGACAGAGACAAAGACAGAGAGACACAGACAAGACAGACAGAGAGACACAGACAAGACAGACAGAGAGACGGAAACAAAGAGAGAGAGAGAGAGAGACCCACAGAGACAGAGACAGAGTATATCCAGATTCGGTGAATGTCTCCTGTCCGTTCCACATTGCAGTAACCCTTGACATCAAGAGTTTGACCATCCCTCAGCTGACTGATGTTCACCATTTCTGGGAGCCACGCCTCCCGATGGAGGTGCTTGACCAGGAGAGGGAGGTGTCTTCATATCCTGGAGAGGAAACCATTAAATCCACTTGAAAGACTGCTATTGATCTACAAACCAAAGGAAAAAGCACTCGGTCCGGGAAGGGATCAGGGTCATCATCTGGATTTGTTGGCGAAGGAGGCTTGCCTTCACGTTTTTCAAGCTACTAGGGGCAAGGACGCTACTAGGACCACTAGGAGCAAAGGGCATCGCTACTAGTAGCAAGAAGCTACTAGGGGCTCCTGGCATCGCTACTAGGGGCAAGGACACTAGGGGCTCTTGGCCGAAGAAGCTACTAGGGGTTCCTAGGTCCTAGCTTCAATGTCCATTTCGCCGCCCCGGCCGCCCCAGACCGGCCGAGGCCCGGGCGGATGTATGGATCCTTCCCCGACAAATACGGTACCGGCGCAGGTGCACGGTGCGGAGTTGCCCCAACCTGCGACCCGGTGCGAAGGAGGTCCGGTCGACCTGATGTCATTGTGTTCGTTCTTGTCACATGGTAAGATCAAATCATGAGTCTGTCAAGGTTGCCTCACTACTGTTTGTAGTGACAGAATGCGTTGCGTTTTGAGGTGCGGTGGTGTTTGTGACATTTTTTAGGCATGTCGGCATGTCATGTGGATGGGAGCTGTGGTGGCACATCGGTCTTCCGCTTCAAGGGACGGAGGCAGCACAGGTGTTCCGTTTGTGCAACGTGACCATCCATAGGCTTTGGATGATGTTTGGCATGTCAAAGGTGTGCCAGGCGGTCAGCATTTGGAGGCAAAATGGTCTGCGTTTGGTGGCACAACATGTCTGATCCCTGCATGCGGCTCTCTCCTTCAGTGCTTTTGTTGTGGGCGCCTCAGCCACAGCGCCAGTGGCGCTGGCAGCCTCAACAGGGTGCAAACACTTGCGCTAAAGCACAATGAATAATTCACGCACCAAGTCAGCCCGGCCTGCGTGCCTGGTGGATTGACCTCGACGTGTTCGACCTTGAAGCCACTTGATCGAGTGTTAATGACTGGAACGCAAGTAATGCTACGCAAAAGGTATTGGCATCACCTGCATCAGAAATAAATTTAAAAAAATTACGTTACTTCGAGTGATCCCCACCATGAAATGTCAAAACAGCCACGTTCAGCCCAATCTGCTCACTTGCGAAGGCAATCCAAATGTCAGAAAAAACAGGTCGTTCATTCATTCTGTTCGTCCCTTCGTTCATTCGTTCGTTCGTTCATTCATTCATTCGCACGTTAACTCATAGTAGTCATAGTAGTAGTAGTCGTCGTAGTAGTAGTAGTAGCAGTAGGAGTAGGAGTAGTCAGTAGTCAGTAGTCAGTTCTAGCAGTAGTAGTAGTAGTCAGTAGGAGTAGGAGTAGGAGTAGGAGTAGTAGTAGTAGTAGTAGTAGTACCACTAGTAGTAGTAGTAGTCGTCGTCGTCGTCGTCGTCATCGTCGTCCTGGGCGGCCCAAAAACTGGGAAACTTCCGGGGCCCGAGTAGTAGTAGCAGTAGTAGTAGTAGTAGAAAGTAGTAAGTAGTAAGTAGTAGTAAGTAGTAGTAAGTAGTAGTAAGTAGTAGTAAGTAGTAAGTAGTTGTAGTAGTAGTAGTAGTAGTAGCAGTAGTCGTAGTAGTGGTAGTAGTGGTAGTAGTGGTAGTAGTGGTAGTAGTGGTAGTGGTAGTGGTAGTGGTAGTGGTAGTGGTAGTGGTAGTGGTAGTGGTAGTAGTAGTGGTAGTAGTCGCCGTAGTAGTAGTAGTAGTAGTAGTAGTGGTAGTGGTAGTGGTAGTGGTAGTGGTAGTAGTAGTAGTAGTAGTAATTGTTGTTGTTGTCGTTGTGGTGGTAGTAGTAGTGGTGGTGGTAGTGGTAGTGCTAGTAGTTGCTGTTGGACACACTTCGGGGCCCGACCTTCGGGGCCCGAACCTGGAAAACTTTCAGGGCCCAAGCAGTAGTAGTATATAGTATAGTAGTAGTATATAGCATGGTAGTAGTAGTAGTAGTAGCAGTAGCAGTAGCACTAGCAGTAGCAGTAGCAGTAGCAGTAGGAGTAGTAGTAGTAGTAGTAGTACTGCGATGGTAGTAGCAATAGTAAATAGTAGTGCACAGTTCGGGGCCCGACCTTCGGGGCTCGAACCCTGGAAACGTCCGGGGCCCTAGTAGTAGTAGTAGTAGTAGTAGTCGTCGTCGTCGTCGTCGTCGGTGGTCGTCGTCGTCGTCGTCGTCGTGGTAGTGGTAGGTAGTAGTAGGTAGTAGTAGGTAGTAGTAGGTAGTCGTAGCAGTAGCAGTAGCAGTAGCAGTAGCAGTAGTAGTAGTAGTAGTAGAGTAGTAGTAGTAGTAGTAGTAGTAGTAAGTAGTGGTTAGTAGTGGTTAGTAGTGGTTAGTAGTAGTTAGTAGTAGTAGTAGTAGTAGTAGTAGTAGTAGTAGTAGTAGTAGTA